ACTTCTCGCAAAGAAGGGAGCGACGTACCGTTAGGGATGGTGTGACGGCCCCCGAGTCAGTCAAGACATTGATTTGGGTCATTAAATTGATGGAAGAGTTCCCTTTTGAACCACCTCTTAGTCAGCAGTAAGCCTGTTCCTTTTGTGTCTGGGCTCTACCACTAACACTCTGCTCTCTGTGTCGGGGTTCTTCTTCTTTTTTTTTTTTTTTGGCTGCCACCTCAGAAGCAATCTGGTATCTGGCAATTTAAACTGTTAACAAGGGGGCAGCAATAAAAAAAAAAAAAACTGTCAAATCTCAGTCTGAGACGAACAAGTCTGTTTCTTTGATCATGAAACCGACAGTTTCCTCATTTGACAAGCATCAAACAGGCCTTTGTAAACTGTGTGCTGCTTGGCTGTGATTTCCACGCCGAGCAGACTGAGGAGGCTTATTTCTTCTGAAAGACAGTTACTGCAAACACACAGCAGCAGCAGCGCCCGGCGTGCAGAGCGGCGATTTGTGCAGACTTTTATCAGATACCATTAATATGTTGGGCAGACAGATTAATTAGGACCCAACAAACGGAGGGATTTCACGTAAACACGGTTAATTAAACACGGTTTCGATTAACCTCCTAATCAGCGGCTCTCGTTGCCTTTAACAGTTTTATTCTCGTTGCTAGCTCGCCTGCAGGTCCAGAGAACAAAAGCACTGATATGACTGAACGGTTGAATTCATAAGTGGCTTTTGGCTCACGCTGTCAATTTTATAAATGGAAAAGTGCTCCGATGTTTAAGGACTGATTCAACAACGTGAAACGACTCCATCGCAAGAAAAAAGTCTTGCATTCAAAGTCCTACTTAAGCAAAGTGTGTATTCTTTTCTAAGATTATAATGACACAGGGTTTGCATGAAAGTAATAGTACTTGTTGAAACAGGTGCTTCTCGGCTTAATTCATGTCCTTTTATTGTGCAAACTGACTAACATTTGAACACTGTCCTCATCAGAAGCAAAGGTCTGCACTTGTTCTTCTCCTGTAACTCATCTCTTACTAGATTGTTGGTACTGACACACCAGTAGCGCTGCATTCTCAGTTATTCTGTTGATTATTTTCTCAATTAATTGGCTGTTTGGTGTATAAAATGGTCTGAGATGACGTCCCGTTTTATCCACAACCCAAAGATATTCAGTTTACCGTCATTGCGGAGTAAAGAAACCAGAAAATATTCTAACTAGAGAAGCTGGAATCAGAGAAATGTCATATTTTTTCTTTTAAAAAAATGACACAAACCAATTAATACTCTATAAAAATAGTAGCTGATGCATTAAATGCTTGACAGATAATTGATAAATTATTTCAGCTCTGCACACCAACGTGATCCCACGCAGTAATTCGCTGGATTTCGTCGTAATTACTGAATAATTTGACGAGATGTTTAGATAAACCAGGGGCCCGGTTTAGACGGAGCTTAACCTGACAAAGAACTTCACCTGTTTTATGGATGTAGTGGATTAAAAACATAAAGTCCCATAAACTAGAAATACTCAACACTCTGAGTAAATATATATTTATGTACTTCAATCATTACGTTGCATGTTTTATCTACATGCATCCTGATATTGCAGTTTGACTTTCCGCTGTAGCCGTTTGCAGATGAGCCGTCACATCACAGACACATGCACCACATAATGAAGCATCATAACCACGAGGGAACGTTTAAAACTTAAAACCTTTGTATGTTACCAGCAGAGACAAGATTAATTAAAGGCAGAATACTTGACTGAGACTTCATCAAAGCAGATCATTGTCATGTTTCCAGAGTATTGTTTCACTGCATTGTCTTGTGTTCTTGCCATGACGACATTAAACAGCGAGCTCTGGTGTGCTCTGAGTATTTTCCGTCTCTCTGTGACTTTACTTGTGACTGTGAGTGAGTGAAAATGCCACTAGCCAGCCTGCACTTTTACAGTGTGTGAGAGGAAAGTGATCAGAGTGATAGTGACTTCCACCATGATAAAACTGGGTCAATGTAACCCCCACCCCCCTCCACCACAGGCAAGGCTGAAAAAGGAAAAAAAAAAAAGAGAGAGAGAGAGAGATGAGGAGGATACCATCGCCAGTGCGTGGATATAAGCATGGGGACACTGGAGCGCGGTTTGCTTTCTCTATGGGTCGGTAACTGTGTTGTGTTGGCACTGAAGGCTTATTTGACGTGTCCCTTCCTCCCCTGCAGTCTGTGGTTCATGGTGTCACGTTATAATCTGCCCCCCCACCCTGTATTTTGTTTCTGTCAGCCACTGTTGTCCCGAGTATATCTGTTCCTCCCAGTACACCCATTTTAACTTGTTGGTCTCCCACTCCCCTGAAAGGTTCTTTAAAATTCTGGCTTCGAAGGCGTAAGCTGAAAATGAAAATCCACCCGAACCGACACTGTAAACACAGCGATATGTGATGTGCCAGATTGTTGTTTGGTGGCGTTTTGTTCTGTTGGACACAGTTAAAAATGCATTTCTGCCTCCCAGGACAATGGAGGTGGAAACAATGCACAACACAATGTTTACACGGGAACGATTTCTTCAGTATAAAGTAGTTAAAAATAAAAATAAAAAGTTAACTGACACACATGAGGATCTGCTTAATGGTTTAATAGATGTACTTTAAATTGATCAGAGCATCCTGAGTGAACAAAACTAAAAAGCAAACAGCTGTATAACCCAATAACTGTATGTGCACAATGGTGCTATGAGCTAAATGCTAAAATAAAGCTAATGCTAGCATGCAATTCCATTTACCAAGTTAATCATTTTGGTTATGCAGGTTAGCATTGCTAATATGTACAATAAATACAAACTACATCTGATAGGGATGCTCAACACCCAACATCCGACCTGTGTTAGCATGTGAAAATCCTAGCTTAGCATCAAAATAAGCTAGCAAGCTAAACTGGAAAGCAGCCAGACACCATTTTCACAACTTTATGCTGCAGAGTTCATCACACGGCTGCCATATTTTGCAGACAGGCATCAGGGAGTTGTGGTAGTTTTATTCCACCCTTACACACCTGTAGCTCCATCTCAGTAAACATAAGAGGCCTTCACGACCTTGGTGTTCCACAGAATTGAAAGCACACTGTACACCTTCATAGTTGAGTTAAACTGCATCACTTTTCCCCTACAGATTGGGAAATCTCCAACTTTCTTTCAAATAAAAACTCACTATGTTGTCAGTTGAAACTGTTATTTGAGTTTAATGCTAACATTAGCGTGCCAATATTCTCCAAATCGGCCGGCGCCGGTGCAGCCACGCTGCTGTATGGCAAAAAGCAAATTAAAGCAGTTCATCAACCAAACAACTGGTGGGCGCACTGAACATCACAGACTGATTGTATTTAACAGTGTATGTATCGGAGGGTGGATTTTCCCCTTAACGACAATAATATTTCATCTTTAAGTTTGAGAGCAGCTCCAGAACGAATGTACTGAAGGAATATAAAAATTTAAAGTCTAAGGTCCTGCAGTAGCCTGTTATTATTGGTAGCATTAATCATAAAGGCAAGTTAATGATACAAATGATACACTTCTATGTGTATTTTATTACAAAGTGCATATTTATAAGCTGCACTCAGTTAATCTCTCTTTGCTGTGTTATGATGTGAAAACTTTCTCCCGAGCTGCGTTGTCTCGTTGTGTACGTGGTGACCTTCTGTTGATGCCACGGCCTGGACGAATGCTCGTTTTTAATTGGCCCAAAGGATCTGGTTAATTCAGTTTGTACCAGAGGCGGGATGAACGGGCTACATGGCTAGGGGCAGGAAGTGTTTTATTTCAGATAATCACATGGCTCTCCAGCATTAAAATGTCTTTCAAGTGAAGAATCCCACGGAGCCATTAGCTAACCGTGAGTCACTGTGTTGTTTTTCTGTGACAATGCAGTTCAAAGTCAGCAATGCAAAAAAAAAGCCATTTTTTTTGTTCCAGGTTAGACAAACTGACAAGAAACAAACTGCCCACATTGCACAGGGGAATGTAGTTCAGCATCTGAAAGAGCAGGCATTGATTTGGCATCATTACGCAGTGTCAACAGTCACAGTTCATCTTTGTTTTATTGTATATTTCCCTTTTTTTTTTTCTACCGTCGGCCATGACTCATTATTTCATGTGAATTCGTCTTGTTACGAATGAGGACTCCTCAGAGAGACGAAGGTTGTTGCAGCTCATTTGATGCAGCTTTTGTGACTTAAGCTTTTAAGAAGCCTCACTGCCATCAGGATTAGCTGGGATTATTTGCTGCTAACAGCAAACAGGTACACGCTCCTGCACCTTCAGAGTCTGACTTTCATAGTCTAATAGCGGTGATATTATTGCGAAACAGTTTCAATTTCAAATTCCCATAAATACAGTCGAGCATTAACCGTCCGACCACAGGCCGTGGCATAAGCAGACGCAGCCTGAGGTGCATGTTTGAATGGATTCTGCAGCTACATCAAACATGCACCTCACTGGGTATATATATGTTTTACAGTTTTTCCTTCCTTTGCAGCAAATGTGAAGGGAAATGTGCTCAAGGTCAAAACTGAGATGTAACATTATTGGTTACTAGTTTTGTATTTGCTCTTGATATGTTTTGACATGCCAAAGACACCGTACAGGTGACTTAAAAGAAATATGCAAAACATAAAAAAACCTGTTGTTGGTGTGGTGTGGTCGATGTTGTGGAGTTTTACTTTACATTTCACAAACAGTTGACGTCAATCGTTTGAAAATAAATGCATCCACGTAGAATCCCAAAGGAAAAACACAACAATGTTCTCAATTACGCATATGCACTACATTATATAATTCATAGCTGCCAGGCAATGCTCATAATTTTGTATGAGCATGTGCTATTTGTGTCCAAAGTGATGGAATGTAAAGTGTGCCTCACATTTTCAGTGTATGTGATTTCACTGTAATGTCCTGACTGTTTTCTTTCTGTGTCTCTCTCCTTCTTCACTGAACAGCTTTGCATAAACCCAGATGCCTCCCCTCCCTCTCGACGAGCGCATAGTGGTTATTCAGCGCCCTAAAAACTTAGCCCTATGCGAGGCTTCCCCGCAAGCCATCCCGCAGCACTCGTCTCAAATTACAGCCTCCTCCAATGGACAAGTCGCCCACCCTCCTCATCTCCACCACCCTCAGTCTCATTTTTATTCACCCTCCTGTAAGCCTCTGACTCTGGAATGCAAGCGGAGGTCCTCCCGCGTGCAGAAATTCAAGGGCGACCAGCCTGCCAACCCGGCGGGAGTCAGACACATCCCTAGCCACTGCCACAGCAATGGCACAGTAACTCTTGGCCCACGCCTGCCCTCCCACACGCATACTATCGATATCAGGGTGACGGTGGACAAAGGAGGACGAGGAGGAGGATTCAGCAATTCGTTAGGGCGTAGCGGAAGCGTAAGAGGCGGCAGAGGGAGATGTGTCCCGTCGCAGTTAGATCAAGGACAATGTGAGAGAAAAGCTGCCAGTGCGGGGCGGCCAGGTGGAGCCGAACACAAGTCACAGCGAATTCGTCAGCTGTCATCTTCCCCCGGAGGGGTCCTGCAGTTCGTCCCTGCTCAGGCTCAGCAGCATAAGTTCAGGGGTGACAAAGAGAAGGAGAACACTAGTTTTCTCAACAGAAGTGACCAGGAATTTCCCTCCTTAGGTCACAGGAAGAATTCCAAACTGGGAACTGTCCATCAGAGCCATAACAGTCACAGTCTGCCCTACCACCACAACTCTGTCCCGGTGCCCCATGCTGCCATCCTAAACTCCAACTACCCCCCATCCCCTCCCTCCCAACCCGCCCATGTCCCAGTCTCGTTTCAGCAGCTCAGCCAGCCTCACCCACCTCGTTCCAGGGACCACCGCCCTCACATTCTTCATGGTCTGCCCCTCTCCCCCTGTTCCTCCCACGCCGGAGGGTTTCCCAGCCCCGATCACACCTGCACCATCGACTGCACCCACCCGTTCAGCTGCGGCTGCTGGAGGTTGGTAAGATGCCGAGGGTGTAAGGGGCACTCCGCTAGCTTCCAAGGAGGCGGAGGAAGCACTTCCACCTCGTTTTCCTGTGGTCACAATGTTGGAGCAGTGAAGAGAGGAGGCAAAGAAATGGGCCTGAGAAATCTGGGTGGGTGTCTCTCCACCGCCTCCACCTCCAACACCTCTTCTTCCAACAGCACCGCGTCTGACTGCCGAGCAAGTCTGTTCAAACCCCTCCGCTGTGCCTCCTGCTCTGGGGAGGCCGGAAACTTCGAGAGTCCCGCCATCCTCCGCAAAAAGCTGGTGGGAGGATGCCTGCCCTGTACCCCGCTGTCCTCTTCTGCCCCTCTGCGGGCCATACAGAGCTGTGTCACGGGCTGCAACCCCAAAGCCTCTCAGACGGGCAGTTCCACCTGCAGCTACTGCAGCAGCGACCCCATAGTGGTGACATTCAATCCTCGCCGAGGCAAACCCCCGGGAAGAAGCATCGGAGCAGCTCATCCCATGGCCATGTTCCAAGCCGATGATGACGACTACAGCGTGCGTACGATCTGGCCCGAGGAACTGGCCAAGAAGATGACCCACTCGAAGGCCCAGAAGAATCACTGTGCGGGGATGGGAGTGGGAGTCGGGAAGACCTGCGCAAGCCAGGCCCAGACCAGCAGCAACGGAACAGGCCTCGTCCTCTTGGACTGTCAAAACCTCCAGGAATACGCACAGACTCAGCACACGGACCGTGCTGGTCGACGACGGCTCCAGCAGGGCAAAATGGCCTCCCTCGATTTCATGGGCTGCAGGTCGAGATCCGAGTACGACGACGGGCGTAACTCGCTGAAGAGGCTCCTGAATAAAGCAGAAGATGCAGGATTGAGCGACGGTCCCGAGCAAGACGACGACGCAGCATATCCCCGCTCCCCGTCTCCCCGGTCCGCATCCCCTCCGTCACCCGTGTCCTTTTCCCCTCCGCCGTCCGCCCCCAGCACACTCATCAAACCCAAACCCTGGCAGAGAGACAGGGAGGGAGGACACTCTCTGCCGTCGGCTCACTCTCTTCACCTGGCCCTGAACTCCCTGAACCGAGAGCAAGACGAGGAGAACAGCAGAAGTAAGGATGTCTTATGATTATACATGCAAAAAGCAAAGTACAAACTACAACCACTGGGTCATATTAGCCTTGAATGTCTCTCCTATACCACAGACATGCATCAAAAAAAGAAAAATCCCCGTTGCTTAGTTTGTCATCTGCTGCGTCTGACTGCAACCTGTCTGTGTTTGAATATGTCATGATTCTGATCCCCCTGCTCCTTGATGTGTTAAATAATTTTGCAGTGTTTTTGACAGATGCGCACACACATTCGGGAACATTTAGCTTCGGCTCTCAGGAGGTTCTTTCATTTAGGTTATAAAAATCATCAAAGTGCTCATTGCCAATCCTCTCTTATAGTCAACAATGGCTGCTAATTAGCTTTCAGAATAATACGACCCACTTTTGAATCTGTGTCACCCTGTATATGTTTTCAAGTATTTTTATAATTTTGGGGGTTCTGTTGCAGCAGCTTAAGCCGCCTCACACAATGAAGTACTTTTGTCTTTTTTCCAGTGCACCTCTCTCTGCCGCTCTCCTCCTCGTTGCCGGCGTCTCTGTCCGACGAGAGTGTGATGACTCCCGATGCAGAGAACGCCGTGGTCAGCCCCATCCTGCCCTTCCTGTATCTGGGGAACGAGAGAGACGCCCAGGACCTGGACCTGCTGCTGCGCCTCAACATCGGCTACGTGGTCAACGTGACCACGCACCTGCCTCTCTACCACGTCAACTCTGGACTGCGCTACAAACGGCTCCCGGCCACCGACAACAGCAAGCAAAACCTTCGACAGTACTTTGAGGAGGTTTTTGAGTTCATCGGTGAGAGTCCCACCTCTGATACGTTGATGTGTTAGCTGTAAGGGTGTATAAGGTGGAAGAGGGGTTGACTAGCATTGGAAAAGATTAAATTTAGTTGCTGTCCTTCCAGCAGTTTGATGGAGGCCTGCGATCAGTTTCGTCCGTTCAATACAAAGAGTGAATCAGTAGCTTAGTATAGGGGTTGCCGGTGTGGGAAATAGCAACACAACTCCAAGTTGTTTTGTCTACTTAGCCGCTAGTTAGCCACCTTTAACTTCGCCTACATGGGGGTGCTAAACCTACAACTATCATTTGATGCTGCACTTCTAAACCATAGACCGTCCTCTTGTGCAGCTAGAACGTTATAGGGCTGCCCTCTGAAAGTCAAGGCTTTGGAGCATCAGTCGAGGACCCTTGATTCTTTAGTCGACAATGACGATATTCCCTTTATTTGGGGTTACCTGATGAGAGAAGCTGAGACCTGATTTGGAGTGATACCGGCAGAGCCTTTTCCTTCAAGAAGCATAGCTTTGTGGGTAACCTGTATGAGAGTTGTGGGACGTGAGTGACTCTAGTGCATAAATAAAGTTATCAGCATGTTGCCACAACCAATGTGAAGTGCATGCAGACAGGAGTGATTTAGCCTCACGTAGCCACAGGTGGGCACCTCGAAAACACTCTCTAAACCAATCACAGCTAGCATGGGTGGAGCTACACCAAGGATACAGCAGTGCAGCCCCTAGACTGTATAAAAGATGGACGTAGCTACCGTGACGTCACCCGTTGGTTTCTGCACTGAGAACATGAAGCCAGGGTTTTGCTGCTTCCTGGTTGACATCTTGGATTTTTGGAGCCAGTGATGCAAAAATCGTCGGAGGGGGGCGGAGCCATAGGAGCAGCGATTGGTCAGATGGATTGAGAGGCGGGCCCTCTCTGCCCGCCCACATTTACCGCCTTCTGGTCGCTTCATCTGTGTGGTTGCTGCCGACTGTCAATCAAGCCAGCCACGCCCCTTGCTCTGCAAAATGTTGACGATTTTTTAAAAATTCAGTATTGATTTATTTTCAGATTGGCCACCTGATCTCTGGATTTGACTATGAAAACTAATAAGACACAAATCCTGAGCTGTAGGAATGCAGTATTTCATGATCTGTGATCACTTCTTTTCCAATTCCAGTCTATGGGAGCCAGGGCTTTGTGGAGCCAGCAGCTAGCGGACGTAGTGATATTGCAGGTTTTTGACACTTCTGGATTGGCTTCATTTTTCAGAGCTGGTTGCTACGTCCATCTTTTATACAGTCCATGGTGCAGCCCCTTCAAAATAGTGTCAATGGGCGGGGTGTTTATGCACGCAGGGAGGCGAGTGCTGTAATTAAAATTTTCCCAAAGTCTGCCTCCATGCATGAACAAATCCTCTGCAAACGTATAAAATCTGTAGCTAGATGTGGGTTTCAGCTGATGTTACACCGTGCTCATGGCTGCGGTATAAAGTCCTGGTTAATGCAGTGTTATGACAGCGTCTGCCTCCCCCCTCGTCACTGCAGATTTAGTCTAGACAGTAAAGGTTACTAGTCCTTCCTGACTAGCATCACTAATGTACTGTTGATTAAATATTAACATAATTTCCTTTTTTAAAAACATGCTTTGCGACGAGAAATCAATTTCATTTTTAAAGTAGTGTGATTATGATGGCTGATAGGACAGGCATCTCCACGCTGGAGTCGGTGTTCTCGGTGCGCCGTTACCTGGTAACCCGCTTTTCAGTTTGATAATTTCTATTCAAAAAAAAAAAAAAGAGAGAGAGAGAGAACAAATGCAGAGACTTTCAATGCTATCATCAGCTGCTTTGTTTCCTTTCAAAGCTGCGGCGCTACTATTGTGTTGGCGTCTGTGAAGTGAATTCCTGACCCTGCTCATGCCGCCCACGCCGTGACTCACCTTCAGACAAGTTTCTGTGGTAGCTGTTAAGAATTTTGTTTTGTGTTTATGTAAAAAAAAAAAAAGTGGAATGAGTTGCTAAAAAGGGACGATTGGTACGTGTCAGTTTAGGGTTTAAACCAGGACGCTAGAGGTGAATAAGGTAAAGATTTAAACTAATAGATGTCACTTCTGCAGCTAATTACTCACATTAAGATAATTGTCTGTTCCATGGGTTTTCAGAAATGTTATATGTCTGAGGTGCTGCCTAAAAAATGTGCTAATTTGCATTTATCAAGTTAAAAATTCATATTAGGGTGCGAAAAAGTCAATATTTGCCATTTTCTTTAGGAAGAAAGTGTCTATAAATTAAGCAGTGAGTGTCATATGAGCAAACGTCTCTACAAAAACCTTCAGAATACGCTATAGACGGCAATAAAACTGCAAAGGTTTGCTGTATGTGAGTGCGACTGAAGTGGTGAGCTCTAGTTCAAAGTGTGAGGAAAACTGTCTGTGGAGATTCTCAGTCATCCAGTTCATGGTTATCTGAAGTGCTTCAATAAAAAAAAAAAAAAAAAAGCAACTGGAGTTCTCTTTTTGCTTTTTGAAATCATTTCACCTCTCATTCAGGAACCAAAAAGAGAAGTCTAGTTGCCTAGAAAGCACATAAAAGATAAAAAAACGACAGTGAAATTTCATACATTTGTGTTGGAACGACCTCTATTTTCAGATAAAACTTGTGGAACTTGCCCAACTGCTTACTTACATTTAATTAGTTTTATGTTTGGATATGCAAATGAGGTATTCTTTCATTAAATATCCAGACATTTGCATGAATGCCATCTCATAATAGACAAAGAGTTCTACTAAAAACTCCTTTGATTTGTTTTTATTGCAGCAAAATGTCCCAAAACCTCAGAACTGACCAGTGCACAGGGAATGTCTTTGCTGAACAAGAATGTTTACATTCAGGTTGTAAATGGCTTTAATTCTCTGCTCAGAACGCGGTGATATCTTCAGCAGGCCCTGCATTGTAATGACAGTGATGCAGCGCTACGTCTGTTCTCTCTTCTTCAGGCAAAATTGAGCTCATCCATTTTGTTGTTCTCATCCACAGAGGAGGCATATCAGAGTGGACAGGGAGTGTTGGTACACTGCCAGGCGGGCGTGTCTCGTTCTGCTACCATCGTCATTGCCTACCTTATGAAGCACACCCTCATGACAATGACAGATGCCTACAAGTACGTGCGGAGCCGCCGGCCCGTGGTGTCCCCCAATCTGAACTTCATGGGCCAGCTCTTGGAGTTCGAGAGGGACCTCAACTCCGGGGTGACTCCTCGCATCCTGATGCCTAAGCTGAACGGTGTGGAGACGCAGGTGTGAGAAAGGTCAGGAGTGTTCAGACGACGAGAGAAACGGGCGTTAACGAAAGAAAAGAGTGCAGCACATTGTAGAAGAGAGACGCGGCGAGAAGTGCGACAACCGGGGGAAAGCGCTGGCGTTAGTGCACTTTTAATACTGTGAAACACGAGACAAAAGACTGGATGGTTCATTTGTTTAAGTGGTAGTTCTTAGACAACTTGATCCAGTACTCTCTTTATAAGATAACGTGCCAATATTTTGTATAGATCGAACATCACTCAGATATCTCGTCTTTCTTTTGGTTTTTTTCTCTCTCTCTTCCTTTTTTTGTTCCTGTTGTTTACATTCACGACCAGAAATACGGAGAATCGTAAATGCATGCAAAAATAAAATCCTTCATCCACAACGCCACTATATGAAGCATCCGCCACATGTAGCAACACACAGGTCATTACAATGCACTTTACCTCCCATGCATTCGTTTCTTCTTATTATTATTATTATCACTAACTCAATTGTCACGAGGAGGAGAAGTTTTTGGTTGATAATAACATGTTTTTTTTTGTCTCATTTGTGCAATAGAGCAGCATGGACCTAGCAACTTATCACAAAAGGAACAAACAGTTAATTGAAATGTCAGAATGGTTTTATCTCAGTGAAGCAGCCTGTATGTTAGCAAAGGAGATGTATTGCAGTGTGATGCAAGGAACTTAAATACGCAGGTTAATACACTGAAATAAGTTATAAAAGCCGCTGAGCTGGAGTCACAACTTCACATGTATGATTTAAAGGTGTAGCTGGCAGGTTTCGTCCTGCCGTTAAAATGTGCTTTAAACAACAGACCTTCTTCAACTGTGCACTATTTGTTTCAGTCATAAAAAAAAAGATGCATTATTTTTATTCTTTTTTCTATTATGTAAAAAAAAAAAGAAGCTGGTTTTGATGTGTAGCATGAAGCAGTCCTGTTCTGGTGCATGGGCTGATGTTCGTTCAGTTTCAAAGAGCACATGGTGGTTTGATTTGATGTTAACCTGTCTGGTCGGGAACTTTAAGCAACATTGTGTGCTTTTAAAAAAAACTGTGTGTTTTTATTGTGTAACTCTTAATTTCTGACCTTGCTTGGCCTGTGACAGTTTCTGATATTTCTCAAGTGGAATCACATTTCCAGAATGGGGCTAATTTGGATTTTTATTTTATTTTTTCACGGCTTACCTCTGTCATGAATACTCTCAAAGCCAAATCTACTTTGTATTTAATTATTTTCATACCTTTGTGAAGGAGTCAGATGACTGTTTGTAGAGCCGGTGGTGTGTTTAGGTACCGTTGGTGTGTTTTTGCTCCCTCTCTCTCTCTCTCTGTTCTTTTGCCTTATCGTCCATACTGAACTTCTCGACTGTGTCCCTCATGACTATGCATTACCTTTATTATGAAGGCTTTGGTTTGACTAGAGAAGGCTGCTTGATTCACTGTGAACTCTTCGCCTGCGTTGTTGAGGTTTAATCCCGAGTTAAGCCTGTTTATCACACCTCAAATTACAGCCCCCGTGCAGCCGAGCATCCGGGTTAAGTTTAGCAAAAAAATACAAGTGGACATCGGAAGATATGAGACAGCGTGGCCTGCATTTAAAGAGCCCATATTGTGCACATTTGGAGGTTTGTTTTTTGATTTTTGGAGTCTATTAGCATAACATTTATCTTCTTTTTCCTCATACTGTAGCACCTCTTCTCACCTTCTGTCTAAAAGTCTTCACTGGAGCTCCTGTCTCGTTAAAAGCCCCCCGACTGAAAAGCTGCTAAAAAACCAACGACAACTGTGTGGGAGAACTTTAGATGCTGGAGAAAACATGTGTGAGTCGTCACCTGGAAAAATATAGTCCACAATCTGGAGCCTTCAATAAAATCCTTCCACATAGGAGTCACATTGAAGCTAAACTTCTCGTCTCACTGACTAGTCAGCTGCTCTCAAAACACATAATAGCCTCAGTAAATCGATAGGCATGGTGACTATGTGCAAACCATAGACTGTATAAAAGATGGATGTAGCTACCGTGACGTCACCCGTTGGTTTCTGCACTGAGAAAATGAAGCCAGGGTTTTGCTACTTCCTGGTTGACATCTTGGATTTTTGGAGCCAGTGAAATCGTTGGAGGGGGGCGGAGCCATAGGAGCAGCGATTGGTCAGATGGATTGAGAGGCGGGCCCTCTCTGCCCGCCCACATTTACCGCCTTCTGCTCGCTTCATCTGTATGGTCGCTGCCGACTGTCAATCAAGCCAGTCACGCCCCTTGCCCCGCAAAATGTTGACGATTTTTTAAAAATTCAGTATTGATTTATTTTCAGATTGGCCACCTGATCTCTGGACTTGATCATGAAAACTAATAAGAAAAAAATCCTGAGCTGTAGGAATGCAGTATTTCATGATCTGTGATCACTTCTTTTCCAATTCCAGTCTATGGGAGCCAGGGCTTTATGGAGCCGCAGCTAGTGGACGTAGTGATATTGCAGGTTTTTGACACTTCCGGGTTGGCTTCATTTTTCAGGGCCGGTTGCTACGTCCATCTTTTATACAGTCTATGGTGCATACAGAACAAAATAGGATAAAAGCACCAAAAAAATGTGTAGAAAACCTACAAAGAACGTACCAAGTATAGACCACTTATGTACGAAGCTCAGTGGTACACCTGGAATATTAATTATCTGATAGGGAGCGTTCATGCTAAACATCACTGTGTGGTAGCAATTTAATGAAGGTAGCATTTCCTCCAGGGTGTGGATTGTATTTTTCCTGGTGATGACCCTTCTCCAACAAGCCCAGTCTGTTCTGATTGGTTGAAAGTGAGGCTACACTGCTTATGTACGGTAACCCTACATCTGTGAGTCCAGGGAGCAGCTCAGTCATTCTTCGTTTGAGGGCTACGTAGACGTTATGCAGATGTGTTACATGGTGATGTAGATAAATAACAAAGCCTGGGCTTCTAATGAGGCGCTTCAGGGAGGTGAGGAGTTTTCTGTCAGTGTGTTGAACTTTTACATGCACAAAACACACTAAAGCAAAGGGAGGAGCTCCAAAAGCACAGTATGGGCTCTTTAAAGGCATCCTCTCATTACAAAATGACTTATTTTTGCCATAAGTGGCAGTAAATCAGTTACGAATCCAGCGCAGATGGCCTTCTGTGATGTGAAGCATTCTCATACATCCTGGCCTGTAAATGGTGTGAAACCAGGAGGGGAAAAATGCCGTAGATTCAGCTCTGACTTTCAATCTGATTAGATTAGAGCTGGTGTTTCTAATCTGCTCGCTGAGGATAATCTGATTTTGCACATTTTCTAAACTGATGCCATTTTGTGGTAGCGTTCTGTTCATGTACACAGTAGTAGCTGCTAAGGAGTTTCAAACTTAAAACACTTGCAAGTGAAGACGTGGTTCCTTTTGGCGAGGGTGTAGGAAAAGGGGACACCTGTGCTTTTTTAAATTTTATTTATCTATAATCTCTCAGTTATTTAAAGACAGAAGAACAAATGGTTCTGCAGACTGACAGATGAGGCCATAAAAATCCAAACAAATCAGACGATAAAAAGCTTTTTGTTTGAGTCCTAGTTGCCCCTTTTCCAGATTTCCACTAACTAAACGTCCTGCTACGACTTTCTAAAAACCAAAATGCCTTCGGTTTAGCCTTGTGTAATCTGGTCCTCGGTTTGTGAAGTGATCCTGAACTCTGCTTGTTGTTGGATTTATTTTCTGGCGAAGTGACTTTGATAAAGGCTCTATATTTTTCTACAGTTCTTCATCACGTCGGGGGAAACACGTGTATCTGTGGACTTGCAGTTTGTTTTTTTTTTTACATGGACTCTTTGTTTTATACGAAAGGCCGCGCGCGGACAGAACGACATCTTCCCACTCCGACGTGACAAACACGGATCTCCGGGCTTTTGCGTTGCAGCATTACACTTCCACTGTTATCAGACCTCTCGGGCCGTCGGGGCTCGACGTGCTCCTGTTTTTACCTCTCGCCTTTATTTCAGCTGGAGAAGCTCCAACCAAACACGCTCCTCCCGTCTCGGCTCCCGGTAGGTGTAGAGTGAACCTTTGAAGAGGGGACCTTGATTTTTTTATACGGACTTTATATGCAAAATGGCTGCCGAAGCGATTTCTTTAACTCCCCGCTGTACGGACTTGAACTGTGAGTCACTGCTGACCTCAAGACGTTTGTACTCGAGAGACACATCGAAAGGAACGTTTTGTTTTGTTTCCTCTTCCATTCATATGAACTTTGAAGGGCCAGTGTCGCTGTGAGTGTCAGTGTGTGTGTACAAATCTTCTCTTTGTGTTTTGCACTTGAACCGAGGAACGTTGTTACTGTGCGTATGATAACCTCTTGGGAACGTTGTGTATCTGTGCATTTGTGGGAACTTAATTCTTTGTATTTTATCGCCCATTTTTAAAACATTGTTATTTCCTGTACCAAATATTGAATTTAAGGATTCATAGGAATGATAAAAAAAAAACAAAGCAGACCACCTCCCTCCTTCCTGACGGGGGGTAAGAACTCTTCAGGTACGACTCTCATAGTAACGCTGTGCTGTTTCCCGCCTCCTCCTCCTCCTCCTCCTCCTCCAGAGACCCAGAAACTCATGTTATCTAACCTGTGATGCTCTTCTGTCGCCTCCCTCTTCCCCTTTTCATAATGGATTGTTTCTCTTCAGCAAATGTAATATTTTCATATTGTAATACCCGGTCCTTGTATTTAGACGACATTTTTACCTTCATGTACCGACTATACTCGTCATAATTCTTTGAGGTGCACTGTGACAAATACAATGCTGCTATATATCACAAAGACTTTTATTCTGTACGTCACGTTTAGCGGATGCTAACAGGCGACCGGTACAAAGCGGGCCTCTTCCGCTTACGTCGTTTGAATTCAATCCAGGCTTGTGTTAATCTCAGAGCGACTTTGTGCACAAACGTAGGATCTGTAGCTGTTCCTGTTGGTCTTCCTTTACAAGCATGATAGAGAAGGAATGAAGAGAGTAGCAGTAAAAGTCTTTCTAAAACTGTGGTCAAATAAAACTGTGATGTTGCTTTTTTTTATTTTTTTTCCTGCAAGATTTGACAGAAAAGTTTTCAGTAATACATTAAATATAGTCGTGTTAGAAATACGACAGCCGAGACTCCGTCCTAATATCAGCATTTATCCGAAAAACACGAGAAGCAGAACATTTAGAAATGAATAAAATCCTGCTAGATGCGTATTTCTATCACTAACAAAGGTGGACAGTACATGCTGTAGTGACAAATGTATTCACATCCTTCCATTAAAGAAAAGACAAAATCCACAAAAGTCACTCAAATAACTAGAAACTGAAAAAAGTAATAATAAATAAAAAATTTGCTAAATTATAATTTAGTGAAATGAGGCATTGCTTTTGAATTGTGGTCGAAAAGAATAATTTTAAAAAAACAAACAAACAAAACTGTCCAGGGCAAATTAGAGCATTTTGCTGATGAGCAGTGAAATCTAAACACATGTCAACCAACTAAACACTAGTTTATGGGTCCCGTCATGCTTGTTTGCATTTTTTTTTTACATTTCTGTTGAACCACAATTCAAAAGCAACGTCATGATTTTTATTACATTTTGATTTATTATTATTTTTGTCAATTCCAACTTGTTTCAGTGACACCTGTTTTTTTCCTTCTCTAATGGGAGGCTATGAATACAT